TCAGCAGTCGCCATTGCCCGCCCAGCCGATGAGCCACTGAGCCCAGCCAATTGGCTCAGCGGCGCACGGCGAGCTCCTACTGGTTGTTGCGGCTGGCGGTCCCGCCCTCCTTCGGCGCAGTCGCGCGTGCGCGGAGCAGGGTCTCGGTGCAGGGCGGCGAGGCGATGGCGGCCATGGGGGCCATGGGGGCGATGGCGGCCATGGGCGCGCTGCCGGCTGGTGCGGCGGTGCTGCCGCCGCTGCCCACGCTGGGGGTGCCGGGCGTGCCCGAGCTGAAGCCGCTGACGCGGTACGATGCGATGCGGCTGGGCCCGGGCTGGAGCCACTCGTGCCACGCCATGCTGTACGCGCCCAACCCGGGCATGCTCTTCGGCCGCATCCCGCTGCGCTACGCCGTGCTGGTGAGGGGCCCGGCTGGGGGCCCGGGCTGGGAGCGGGCATAGGGCCGGGGCGGGGCCATGGGGATGGGCCGGGCCGAGCTGGGCTGGGTCGGGTCGAGCCGGGTCGGGCCGCGGGCGCAGGGGGAGGAGGGCTGCGGGAGTCGCGGGTGAGGGCAGCGGGTGGGGGAAGGTGGGGCCGTTCCGTAGTTCCTGTGCAGGGCGGTAGCATCAGGCTTGGCAGAAGCGGCGGCGGGCCCGAGCCCGGGGGGGAGCCCCCGGGACTCCCGGCTGTGCTGCCGGGCAGCGGAACCCGCCTCGGCTCCCCGGCCCAGGGCCGCGGCGAGCTGTCGGAGGCGGTGTCGGTGAACTCGGTGTCCTGGACGCGCTGGAGCTGGTAGGGCCTTGCCGGAGCGGCCCGGGGGCCTCCGTGGTGCCGGGCTGAGACGTCCGCGCCTCCTCCCGCCTTCCCCCGTGGCTCCGCTGTGCCCCATTAACACCGTGCGCCTCTATTGCAGATGCAGATGCGATTTGACGGACTGCTGGGCTTTCCCGGGGGGTTCGTGGATCGCCGTTACTGGTCCCTGGAGGACGGTCTGAATCGGGTGCTGGGCTTGGGTTTGGGCTGTGTGCGCCTGACGGAAGCTGACTATCTGTGCTCGCACCTGACAGAGGGGCCACATCGCGTGGTGGCACACTTCTACGCCAGGCAGCTGACCCTGGAGGAGCTGCATACCATCGAGATCAGCGCGGTGCATTCCCGAGACCACGGGCTGGAGGTGGGACATCCAGGGAGGGATGTGTAGAGCTCTGAGCGTTCGCTACAGGGAAGACCAGGCTTCCCTCCTAGGTCTGCAGGGCTGCCAGCTCCCGCAGCCCCGCGGGGAATGCACCGCACGTAGAGCCGCTGGCGGAGGGTGCCATGCACCGCCGCACAGCACCAGCGATAGGAGGCCTGGCTGTTGGCTGGGGTCGTGCCTCAGGCTATGGAGCGTAGCAGGCTCCAGCTCCAGCCTCTCCCGGTGACTGCCCGCATAGGGAAGAGCCCCATGTACCTGCTGGATGCAGGGGGGGTCCGTCTCGTGTCTGGTGGGCGCCTGCCCCTGCCTTGTGCTGAGTAACGTGGACCGGAATCGTGACCTGCGCTGTGGCAACGTGCTGCTCTGACCCGAGCTCTCCCCGGCTTGCACGGAGGCAGTGTGGGATGCAGCTTTCCCTTACTCCCGGGTAGTGGGGTCCGGCTGACGCCCCGGGGTAGGGTGCAAGAGGCAGGGTGTCCCTGCGCGCCCGTGAGGCGCTCAGTGGGTTTTGGCAGGTGCCCACATGGAGGCAGTTGGTTGTGGGTTGTGGTGTGGTTGAGGTGAGGGGATGTGTGGGTAAGCCAGGGTGTCCCTGGGCTGGCCAGATAGGGTGTGCAGGGGAAGTGGGGCTCCCCATAGCAGCCTGGGGCAGCGGGTTCCCCCCAAAGGGGCAGGAGGGGGAACGGAGCCAGGGCTGGGTGCAGGGCCTGGGCAGGGAGTGCTGGGGTCTAGCAGGGTTCAAGGAGGGCAGAGCAGGGGCTTCAGCCGGGCTGAGGGCAGGCAGGCGAGGGCAGGGCCGGTGCGGGAGCATGGGCAGCACCTGGCAGCAGGGGCTGGGCTGGGTGGGCCTGGGCCTGGGCTGGTGGGTGCTGGGTGAGGGGCTGGGGGCTGGGGGGGGTTGGTGTTGCTATGGGCTCTGCTGAGCTGTGCTCTGTACTGTTGCAGGTGATGGGCATGGTCCGTGTCCCCCTCTACACCCAGAAAGACCGCATGGGCGGACTGCCCAACTTCCTGGCCAACTCTTTTGTTGGAACCGCCAAATTCCAGCTGCTCTTTGCCCTGAAGATCTTGAACATGGTGCCTGAGGAAAAGCTGGCCGAGGCGGTAGCTGCCACGCAGAAGGTGAAGAAGCCGCCCATTGACCATGCAGCGGGGACAATGGGCAACCTGGGCACCAAGTCAGCAAATGAGCTGATGGCACAAGCTAAAACAGGCAGTGAATTAGGAGATCAGGCAGAGAACCAGGCGGTGGTGCAGGCAATGGCCGAGTCGGCAGAGCAGGTGCTGGTGGGGCTGGAGAGCCAGGCCGTGGCAGAGCAGTTGGTGGCTGTGCCTGTGGCTGAGGCGCTGGAGCAGGCGGCGGCACTGGGGGCAGACGCTGTGATGCAGCAGCCAGTGGCTGAGGCCATGGAGTGATGCTGCTGTGTTTGAGCTTGATTAAACGTGGGTGAGACCATAAGAGACTTTTAACTTCCCAGCGCTGGCTGCACTTGCTGCCCACATGATTCCGCTGCCCAGCTGGGAGGGATTGGGTCTGTCTGAAGCAGGGGAAAGCGATGTATTTTTATGGCCATTAAACTCTAGCGAGCTTCCCAGATCAACCTGCACAGCCCCCTGCAGAGTTCATGTGCTTATGTGAGGGCGCTGAAGCCTTAGAATTATGCTTTGATTTCAGGGACATGCAGTGCTGCAGCCAGGTCCCACCTTTGTTTTTAAGGAACAAAATGTCTTCTTTTTTAAATGCCCCATGTAGCCGTGCCTGTGAGCACAGCTGAGTGAGGGGGCTGCTACCCCAGCACCTCCACCACTGTTGGTGGGCCGTGGAGTGACCAGTCATGAATTCCTTTTGGGGCACAGGGGCACGTGTGTGGGTTTCAATCTGGAGATCTGTGGGAGCAGGAAAGTGGAATAAATGGCTTTGCTGGATGCGCTGCAGTTGGATTCTTCTTGAGCACTGGGGCAGAGCTTTAGGGGTGCAGGGGCTCCCTCAGGGCTCTGTGCTCTGCTGGCTGTGCCAGGGTGAGAAGCTGGAGGGAAAGGGAAAGGCAGCCCCTGTGAGCCATGGCCACGGGGCTGGCTGCAAACCCGTGTTCAGGTTGTGCTGCTGTCACTCCAGCATGGCTGAGGCCCCACAGGGGCTGGTGAGAAGCTTCTGTGCTGCTGCGGGTGCCAGAGCACCTCAGAGCACGGGCTTTAGATGTGGGGCTGTCCTGTCTAACGCAGGTACTGCTGCAGCAGCCAGCAGAGCCTGGCTGTAGTGCACAGAGCGCTGCTCTCTGTGCAGGGACACAGTAGTAGAATCCACCCCCATCGAGCAGCTCGGCTGCACTGGGCAGGCTCTGTGCTGGCTGCCCTGCTCCCAGCTGATCCCAGCAGGAGCTACACCCCATCCCAGCCAAGAGGGAGGTCACCCTCCGTCATGGCAGAGCAGATGGTAAGGTGAAGGTGCTCGAGCAGCCCCTCAGAGGCCAGCTCTAGCACAGAGCGAGAAACAACTCAGGAAAGAGGTTTAGTTTAATTGAAGACGTTTAGAGAGGCCAATGGTGACAGCAGTGGCGCTCCTCAGGGCAGGGTGGCAGAGGACACAGCAGTCACAGCTCCCCTCAGGGCGCGCCCAAGAACTGCAACAGTGGAGCTGGGCTGTGTAACGGGCAGCAGGTAGAGTGGGGAACAGTGCCAGGGAATCGGGAGAGAAAGAGGCCTTCTGGTCCAGAGAAAGCAAATGCTGAAGAAAACCAGGGGCTTAAGCTCCTGAAGAAACTCACAAATCAACAAACAGACATGTTTAAGTAAAAAGTGGATGAGCAAAAAAACCCTAAAACACGGCAAGATAAATAAGGCTGGAAGGGTGCCTCGGGTCTCCCCCTGGAAAGCACTGTGGAATGGAGAGGGTCACAGTGGTGCCTGCCCTGGCATCAGGGCCCAGCCAGGCTGCAAGAGGAACACTGGAGACAGCCAAAGCCCCCCAGCCTATTCCAGCCATGGCAGCAGAGCTCCTCTCCCACCCTGTGACCCAGCTACAACCCCAAGAGAGGCACCTCAGCTGAAGCTTCCAGCTCAGGCTGCAGCTCCCTACCCCATTGTGGGTTCTCTGCTACAGAACTGCATCCCTTGAGCTACGCTCAGCCTGACTGCTGCTGCAACTGCAACCAGCTGCTTGCCCTGCTGAGCCAGAGGATGGGATGGAAGGGACTTCTGTCCTCAGAGCAAGGCCCACACCAAGGTCAGCCCCAGCTTCCCAGGGCTTGAAGGTCTTCAAGTATGGATTCCAACAGCTTCAAGCTTGACCATCCTCATAGAAGCCTTTCTGCCTTCTGTCAGTGACCAAGTCAGACCTCTTTGATCCCAGAAGAGGGACCAGCACCCCCAACCAGAACAGCCATGGGCAGTGCCAGCCCAGGGGCACAGGCTGGATGTTAACTGCTAGTGAGCAAAGACCCAGCCCCAGGCTGGCCTGCCCTCCAGCCAGGACACAGCTGGACAACCACAGGACAGCCACCAGGAGACTGCCAGCTGGCACTGCCCTGGGGATGCCCAGACCATGGCTGCTGTGATCTGTGCACAGATCTCATCCCTTAAAGAGCCTGCAGAGTCTAGCCCCAAGGCCGAGGGAGGGTGCATGCAGCGGAGGAGCAGGGCTCTGGCTGCAGCAGTTCTACACCCCAGCTTCCCTCCCCTGCTACATTCCAACTTGGACAAAGGCAGAAAGGTCTATACAGTATTATATATATATATATTTCACTATGAAATAGCAGTTTCATTCCCTGCCTTCTACTTGATGCATCCTGAATGAGATGCTGCTTTGTAAGTCGCTCTGGAGGGATGGCGGGGCTGGGTGGTTTTCATGCGAGGCAGTTGTGCCCCCTGGAGGTTACCCGCAGGAAGCACCAGCGCCTGACCTGGCAGGACCCAGACATGATCCTCACTTCCCCTCACCCGGTTCCCCCTTCCCTCGCAATAAGGGCATGACTACATCCTGCCAGGGCACTTACAGCTCATTTACATGGTCAGCACAGATTCATTAACCTCATTCCCCCTGCTTTCAGTAGCCATGGTGTGGAAGCAGCAGCTGAACCCCTCTACATCACGTATACAAATAGCAAACCAGAGGCAAGGGAAGTGGCAGGGACAGTGCAACATGCACAAAGAGTGGTGAGATGCAAACGGCCCTCAGCCGGGGCACAGCCAGGGCTCGAGGCCATGGGGTAAGTCAGGGCTGCAGCCCCGCAAGTGTGAAGTCTACCAAATCTCGGTCAACCTGTGGAAGAAGGAGTCCTGCCCAGGGGCTGGGTCACTGATCAAGAGCTGTCGTCATCCCTGGCACCAGTGCAGAGCCGGATGGTTCAGGAGATGAAAGGAAGAACAATCCTACGGAAAGGCAAGGGAAACAAGGTGTTATGGATTTCTTCAAGTGTACAGAGGAACTGCTGTCCTGAACACCTTGTCAGAGCCAACAGCAAATGGGCTTCTAGTTACTGTGCTGGGAAAAGAGCAAGGACTGTGGTCACTCTGAGTCTTGCAAGCTGGTCTAACAGAGCTAGGAAAAGGAGACAGCAGGGACAGGTTAATCTGCTGTCGGGCTCTGAGCTCAAGAAAGCAAGATCAGAGTTCAAACTCCATTCAAACTGAACCAGCGGGAGTTTGGCCCCCAGCTGGAGGATGGGGCATTGCTGTGCCCCAGACACCCTACACAGCAACTTGCCCAGCAGCAGAGCTGCAGCTCCAGGACACTTTCAGATCCCCAGGACGGTGGCCATGGGGCACTGCCACCACGTCACTGCTGGCCCTTGGCAGAGAAGGGAGCTCTTCCCCAGGTACCCACCTTTGTCTTCTGTACCTCCCGCTCCCATCACATTGTCCGGCTGTACTCAATGCCACTCTTGGCAGAAATGCCTGACCAGGGGAGAAGGCTGCAGAGAAGGCTCTGGGCCTGCCGATATATCCTCTGGGGAATTGAACATGGGCTCAGGCTGGCCAGTGTTGATCCAATGTGCTGTAGGTAGTCAGTGGCCCCAGTTAAGGACAGCAACATTCACACTGTAACTTAAGAAATAACTTAAAGTAATTCTGGGGACTAGCACTCTCTAAAGAGACCCCATGATACAGTGAAAGCTGCTCTGCTCAGTTACACAGATCTACTCTTTGTATTAACTGCCTGCCCCTTTCTATCAAAAGCAGGTCTGCTTTGCACAGCTTGGGAACACTGGATCCAACTTGTGTGGGAAATGCCTTCTAAGGAGCTGCTGGTTCCCTTTGCACTCCACAGCAGGTTCCTGTGGGGATGGCAATCCATCCGCTTGCCTGGAGAGGTTTGGACTGACCAGCTACACCCAGGAAAGATCAAATTTCTTCTCTGTGATCCAGTGACCTGAAACAAACTCCCAAAGCCAGTCTGAGAGCAGCCTGCTGAGATCTAGGCCAGGCCAGAGTCACACAGCATCCCAGGTCACAGGAAGCAAGACAAAGGGCTTCTCTGCCATGCTCCTGGCCAAATCCTGCACCCCACAAGCACACTTTGGCTTAACACCAGTACTCACCATCACTAGTATCGAACTTGCTCCAACTTGGAACTCAATGTACCACCCTACACTGCCTCTCTGAACTGTTCCCAGAGGAACCAGGGGACAAACAGGCCTCTGTCCTATTCCTCTAACATTACCTTCCTTCCAGCTCCAGATTAAACTCATGTCTGAGCAGGCATCAGTCCCCAGAACCACCCCAGCTCACACATTGCTAGACTGCTATTGTTAACCCAGAACACAGTTTGGTTTTACCGTGCTCCATTGCTAATGAGACTGAAGGTAAAGGATATAAGATTGTCCAGGGTGGATGTCCACCATTGATGTACAGGACGTAGGTGAAGCCATCTTTGAGGACCCCTCTAATGGAATAATAATAGGGAAGATAGTGGTGCTGTTTAAAGTCTCTGTTTTCATAGAAGGTTATTGCTGTGTTGTTAGTGGTGAGGACGTGCAGGTAGATGGCTTTGCAGTGATCCTGGGCAGTTGTTGATATATGGTCTTTTAAACTTTCAAGCAAAAGCGAACCTGTTGAAGGAAAGAGCAGCAGAATCACACAGTGCAGCTGCTGTTGCAGGGCAGCACAAGGGTTTGGAGGTCCTAGCTGAGATCTCCTGCACCCAGTGTCTAAGCAGTGACTGCTGCACACACTTGGAGACCCCAGGTCTAACCCAGTCCTCACAAATCCTCCTGATGAATTAAACAGGACCACACTATGTGGTTTTAATATGAACCTCACCTTGCCTATGAGCATGGCTTCACAAAACACATCTTATAAAGACACAAACTTCTGATTCAATAACCACAAAGAGCCAGACACGGGAAACTGTCAAAAATGCCCATCCCTGGGCAAGCAGTTCCCAGCTTTGGGGAGGGTCAGTGAGTCATTTTCAATGGAATCAGTTCCATCACATGTATGAAACAGAGCACATTTACACACACAGAGCAACCTTGTCTAGTGGAAGGTGCCTCTGCCCATGGCAGGGCAGCTGGCACTAAATGAGCTTCAAGTTCCCTTCCAACCCAAACCACTGTCCTGTGAGTCTACGATTCTATGTATGTATTTTAAAACCATTTACAACAGGACTTGATAAGCAGGTTATTGCACTGTTTCTGTTGAACTTGAATTCAAATCTCAGAACCGGTAGGATTTTAAGATCTCTCCTAAGGAGGGGAGATAGGATATAATCTCATTCAAACTGGATTTGCTGCAGCCGCTATTCAGCAGGAGAAACCAGACATAGGCACAAAGGATACTACAGCCCCAAGAGATGAGACCTGGAGGTTCATCCAAATGAAGGACCCAGCACAACCTGCAGGGGAACTTGCTTCCATGAGGTGTGGTAAAAACAGGCTAAAGACATAGCTTAGCTAATACAGATGAGATTCATGCTACTGTTTCACAATCCAATGTAAGACTCAGGGACAAGGACACATAGGATTTCGGAGCAGAAGTCAACAGCACTGACTTCATGGTCACTTGATACTCAGTGAGGACTTTTTATCAGCCAAGCACAAAAACACCACCCAGAGACTCGTGAGAAACAGGAGAGCTGTTTTATTGCGTTATGAGATATTCCATGCTTTTATCTCTCAGAGAACCAACTGCCCTCTGGTTTAAGGGTAACAGAGAATTAGAAACAAAAGCCTTTTAATGTCTGCCAGAGAAAAATCAGAGCTTTAGTGTTTAGAAGTGTGCCTGGAGTGAAAAGCCTCCTGCATGAAAGACTTCAGCTTCAAACACAAGTAGAAAAGCTCTCAAGAGAAAGGTCTCAGGAAAAGCGCCAGTAGGCCACAGCTTTTTTAGGTTGTTTTGCTACATGTACAAGACCAAAGGTTTTGATGGAACACAGCAATGTGCTGTAGAGATGTAATGGGTACAGAAAACACTAATCCTGAAAGAAAATTCCAGCAAGATGGAGCTTGGAAAAGAAAAAAATAAATCCGCTTTTGGAAACTGAAAGGAGACTCAAACCCACCAGTTTTATGGAACAGGAGACCCCTTTACCACCTTCTCTGAACATTATCCTGTGTTCTTTGTATTTCTGTTCAAAGAAGAAAATACTTATCTCCAGCAACATTTCAATGCAAGTTTTAACTACAATGCTCTCACTGAGGACTCTTCTGGTCATTTCTTTATGTAACCTATCAATATGTATCTTTCTAAACACAAATGTAGGAGAAGGGAGGACTTGAAGAAGAGGAGCTATACCTGTATCCACTGAAGAAACATCAGATGTACAACACTGGGTCATGCTGTCAAACCTGGCCTATTTCCTTTTGCAGATCATAGACAGAGATCGTGCTTGAAATTGCCCCACAAGGGCACTTACTTGATGACAAAACACATCCTATTCTAAACAGAGATGAACTCTGACTGCAGGATTTTCAAATGGATGCAAAAAAGCTGTGTGCTGCAGCAGGCATTCAGAGCTGACTTTTAAATGCATTTGACAGTTTTCATCAGGTCCAAGTTACACTCTTCTTCTTCTAAATGTTTGTTCTATCTGTTAGGTAAAAAGTTATAAGCAGCTCTGTTTTCTGCTTCAGGGACCAGGCTTCTGACACCCATGAAAGAAAATCATTTCAAATCCTGCTCCAGGGTGAAGTCCTGGCACTTTCAGTCTCAGCAGCAGGAGTGCAAGTTTTTTGTGTGCTCAGTTACCCCCGGGATCAAGATGGACAAAGCCAGTAACAACATTTCAGTACACCCACATTAACACCAAGAAGGGATGTGAGTGCGTCACCTTCCCAATTGCTGGCACAAATCATCAACAAGCTTGTCTCAAAAGGGTATTGCAGGTCTCCTTCAGCCATGTCCACACATGACAAATGACAGCAAGAGAGTTGTCACTTTGCAGCATCTTACCTATTCCATGTTTTCTGAACTCCTTCACCACTCCAAGACTTAGGATGTAAGCAACTTGCGTGTCCAGAGGAAAATTGGAAGCTAGGATGTCTCCATCCTGAGGAGAGAAAGGACAAGTTATTTAGTAGGATATCTGGGGAGGCACAGGAGAAAGCAAGAATCCCAACCCAGAACATCTGAAAACAAGGCTATAGCTGGAAAATTCTCTTCACTGAACAGTCTTAACTGAAGCTTCTGGAAAAGACATGGGGAATTAAAAACTCCAAGCATGGTCCCTCAGGGGTCATTCCTACTTTCAAATAATCTTCCCAGACACAGAACACAAATCAGAATCTTTCCTTACTATATACATTGTTTGTGAGCTTAAGGACAGAATATATTTGCATTCTTTACCAGGAAGGATTCCAAGTGCTAATCCTGGAGTTACCCATCAGTATCTACATCAGTCCAGCAACAGTCTTTATTATCTGCATGCTCCATCTGAGCTTCATGTCAGCTGGAGGTCTCTGTATTGTTGCAGAGGACAAGGAGCATGTTTACAGGCCCAATGGCCTGGAGCAGTGGCTGTATAAGCCCCTGGCTTTCAGCTTGGCTGGAACAAAAGCTTTTCGTTAGAGTTGCTGAAGATGCAGTTTCTGAGTTTGACTACCTATGAAGTGAAGCCAGACAGCTAAAATGAAGAGACCGATGCTACTCAATGCTCTCAGTCCCTATAAATGTTAAGATTACTGTTTAATCATAATACAGAGATCCTTTTAGAAGTTATGAATTCTCTGCATTGCCCTGCTTTTTTTTTATCTACTTGCCTATGCTGTTTTCTGTACACTAACCCAGTGGTCTATTCCCATACTGTCTTCAGAGACCATCTCTTCTTCACCCCTCTGCTGTACTGTGCTGTCTCTCCTGACCTCCAAGCTCTGTCATCCCTGAAGCCTGAGCCTTCTGCAGACTGGTTGCCTCTGCTTTTGTCAGAGACAATGACCACGTAAATGAAGGAGTTTCTGCAGAAGTCACTGTAGTGACTCATCCAGAACAGTGAAGGAAGTTCAACACTTGTATAAGAACGGAAGAGGTTCACTCTCCTACAGCTGCTCATACCTCAGTCACCAGGGATGGATGACCAGGAACACTGAAAACAGCCAAACAGGTACATGGCCTGCTACACATTCACTTTTGGATTACACTTGCATGACTGGATCTCTTTGCACAGCACATTGCGCAGTCATCTTCCTGCCAGCCACAGCTGCCTAGCTGCAGCAGGAAGAGACTATGGTTCCAGGCTGCTCAGCAGCCCATGTGTTCAGACCCATCCCACCACTCCATTAGCTGGAAATCAGCACGTTCTTGATTTCTTAACAAGTGTCTGGGTAGAGGGAGAAAAAACATCCCAAACAGGTCCCATCCCAGTTAACCATGACAAGAGGTGGACTATCTCTTACTGAAGTACAGTTTAGTAGCATACCTCTTTATGAACCTTTGTCCTGCTCTTGATCTCTGCCACTATCATTCCCACAATGGAGCCTCTATACGTGGCTGCGAGGGAAAAGAACTTCTTGTTGGAAGTGATATCCCGGTACCATGAGTCAGGGTACCTGGGGAAGGAAGAAAAAACAGGAATGTTTAGGGACACAAAGTCCACAGGAGTAGGCAGCACCACAGCCAACATTGTGCCAAGATGCTGCTCAACTGGAAATGGATAGCAACATCTTTAATGCCAGTCACTGAAACTGCAGACCAATGTATTTTACACAAGACTAAGGGCAGGAAGCTGTGCTACTGAAAGGGCTGTCTTCTGCACAGCCAGCCAGCCAAATACCTCAGACATATGCCAATCTAAAGCTCTTTCTGTGATTTAGCTTATTCCATGTAATCTGGGTTAGGAAGTTATTCACCCTTCCCGTCTTAATTCTTGTATAGTACCAGTGAATATCAAACAGCTGCTGTACCCCATTTGGTAGCATGGTTTCTTTCAATTGCATCTAAGCAGCAATACAGGCTGCACACGTAATGGCCTCCTGCCTTGCTAAGACAACCACATTTTGTTTTACATTCATAGCCCAGAGCTTTCACTTCCATCTTTAGCAAGTTATTTTTAAATGCAAGATCCATCTGCCCTCATCTTGAGATGTAAAGATCTCATTAACTTATACACATGTGAAAAAATACTGCATATTGGTACCAAAAAGATTGCATCACCAGCCTCCAGCTGTCCTCCTCCTGCAGCTACTACAGGAAACCAGCACACATTCATTTATTTCCAAGTGAGAGCACAGCATGCTTGTGTTTAAAAGAAATCTACAAATCCAAAATACTATGAATGCTTTTGCTGGTTTGTTACATTTTACGCAATCTTAATTACAGTCCACTAAAATCCTCTGTAAACCTTCTTGACAAAGCTAAAGAAATCCTTGAAGTCTAGAGCTGTAGTCTCCCTGGAAGCTTTAAGCCAGAAAGCTATCCCTGTACTCCAGAAAAGCTCCTTATTCCCACGCTTGTGCTGACACAAGTATTTACCAAATGGGGGCCTGGGGAACTGACCTGGGACAGACTGAGATCAGCTTTGAGCCAGAGCTTCGGGAGCCACAGTGTACATGGGCAAGTACTGTTTGGTCTCTCCTGGGACATTCAGACAGACATTCCTTTAGAACAGTTGCTCCAGGTCAGTTTGGTTCAGCTCTGAGGGTGTTTTCTTGGCATACATTCCAGAACACAGCTTTCACAAGCACAAGGATACTAATCCTTTTCCCTGTAAGTGTGCTCCTTTCCCCATCTCAAACACAGTCTTTCCCAAGGAGATGATCCACCCCCTTAGTAACAAAGCCTATTTCTCTGCCAAAATCTGCATACAGGAACTTTCTGATCAGGACGAGCAGCAAATGGCCATTAACAGGAACACCACCACAGTGCATAACAGATTCAGAACTGGCTCTTATCTTAGTCCAGATGGCTGCAGAGCCCTTGGTGTCAACCCTGAACTGGCCAGTGCAGGTTCACACCATTTGTTTCTAGATCCCCATCACCTCACCCCTAAAACCATTAACTTACTCTATTGGGAACCAGTCGCCACAGAGCTGTTTCACTGTGTCTATGTCATTGTGGCAGAGAAGACGCAGGTTTACGTCTGTAAGTGCAGTGGGGGGCACCTCCTCTGTCATTCAAGCCTGCAAGAAAAGAAAGCAAGCATGTTAAAAATGAAGCAGCTCAGGTTCTGACTGCCAGCTGCAGCCAGGCATCAGCACAAAGGCAGCAGGAGGGTCTCAGTATCAAGTTGTTTTTCTTAGCAGAATAAGTTTTCAAGAGAGATGAACCAAAACATGGTAACATTAACCCAAGAAGCAACTTGAAGCCCTGCTGCCCACAGGATCAGCACATCTCACTTCTCAGCCTGACCCAGCCCCCAGCCCTGTATCTCTACACACCATGGTCCAGCAATGCTGTGTGAAGGAATATGTGGCACCAACCACTTCTAAAAAGAACTCGGGATGCTGCATTAAGTAAGCCAACAATGTGCCAAGTGTAGCTTATGATGCATGGAGCTCTTCACATGTCTATGCAGGACCAAACAAAAGTGAACAACCAGCTTAAAAAGGAAGCACTGCTAGAAAAACACTTATAAACTCTTACACAACACCAACATCTCCAGTTAGTACCTATGCAGAGGATTCAAATTCTTTTAAAAGGTTAATTTTGTTTAACCTATGCTGGTGAATGAGTTCCATTTCCCCTTATTCCTATCTGCTACAGCTCCACAAGGGCTTCCTTTCCAGCCCAGCAGACAGTGTTCACATACAGAAATATTAAGATACCCTTTTCTTTTACCACAGCACTACCACAACCCTGCTAACGACACACAGGACACTTACTCCAATGTCTTCAGCCTTTTCCTAACAAGGTACCAGAGGCAAAGAAGCAAGCTGTAACAGAAGTGGTTGTAAAAGCATTTGTAGGACAGACACATGCATGAAGACCAGGGAGGAAGAAGAAACTCTGGCACTGGTTTGTGTGCAACCTGGAACACATCAAAGAGCCAACATATCAACAGGAGAAAAGATACAAATAAGGTCCACTATCATCTAGAGAAATCTTCTCCAACATAGGCAGAAAAAATGGCAAAATGCTTTAACAGAATTCCAAGGACATTTTCTTACAGCTCTTGGAAAAGGTGAAATGGGATGGGTTTCTTCAAGCAAGGGATCCTTCCCAGACAGAGCTTTCCTTCCAGTGACCAGTCCTACATATTTCCCCAAGAAGGGCATCTGCAGGGACCCATATATTGATATGGATCACTCATTCTTTCCAAATAAGTCCTTAAAAAAGAACCACAGCTACTTCACAGCCTGTTCTAGGACTCTGGCTGCATATTTACTGAGCAGACTACAGCTTTCACAACCAGTCAGATGCCAGTTTCAAACCAACTTTAGCGCCTAGAAACCCCACAAAGCCAGTACTCCTGGCTGCTTTTAAAACTAATTTTACACTCCTAGAATCAGCTCAAGTCCTCTGACGCTGGACTTCAAATCCATACCCTGGTGTGGCAGCGAGCACACTCTCCAGCACTAGCCCCTGGTGACCTTCTAGCATGCTGAAGCAGCCAGTGCACAGCAGTGTGGAGCTCGGCGGCACACCCACCAGATGCTTTCTGAGCCATTCCAGAGCAGCGGCCCACCACAAGATCACAAAGTGAAGGCAAAATCATTCGTAAGCCAGAATTGCTTGACGAAAGCTCAGGTAGCATAAGGTCAGCTTTGGGGTGGGGGGATAAAGGAGGAGGAGTGAGCAAGCACATAGAGCCAGAGCTGCTTTGGCCATGGCAAAGCTCCAAACCCCAGTACATTGCTATGTTAGAGGACATTAAGCAGCACTCAGGTTTGCAACAGGAGTGCTTTTTCTTGTACATTTTATTTTCTTTTGATGCTCCTGTAAGGCAACACCCCTCCTCGGGCAGTACTCTCAGCATTAAGGAACCAGCTAAATGAAACAACCACGACAGAGCCGTATTTTTTCTAATGAATAGAAGAGGTGGGGGCCTAGGGGCAGCCTCAGCTGCAGCTGCTGCAGCAGGAGAGGCAGAGCCAGCACAGGACACATTCTTGTGAGGATTAGTCCGTGTTTATTTAATGCTATATTCTCAAACAGCTGGGCAAGCATTGTGCATTATCCTGTGGCTGAAGCAAGCCTTAAAGTAATCCACGACCATTTTGCTGCACAGGATAATTCCTCTACCCTCAAATCCAGACAGCTGTTTCCCAGCACCAGTTGCATTTGTGGGGACTCGATCCATCTGCTTTGCATTATGTGGCCCAATGCAGATGCTCCTGCACATTTACAGAACATTGCAGGCACCACCTAGCACTGTGTCCTCCCACAAGGTTTTAGGAGAGCACTTCCTTCCCTGGCCAGGTATTGCTGTTGCTGGAAGAGCTGTGTCCAAGAGAGAAGAAATCCCAAGGAAGTCAATTCTCTTCATACCCCAATGACAGCCGCTGGCTCTGCAGAGATAACTGGGCAAACACCCAAGATCCAGGTCCTGGCCCTCTGCACAGCCTGTAGGATGCTGCGATTAGCAGAGCCAGACCCCTGAACAAAAGCCTCAGCTAGCACAGTGACCACAGCATCACTTTTAGAGTCAGCCTGCTTTTAGAGGGCAGAAGATATGTTTGGAAGTAACCAGTATCAGTGTAAAATAGAACCCCAGCACCCAAAAGAAGTTAAAAGGGCCTTTAGGCGTTTATAGGCTCCACTCACACTACAACACTGACAACACTCAGCTCTGACACAAAACACGGCTCCAGCCTCGTGCTGTTGAAGGGGGGAGGTCCACAGCTGCTTCTGAAACCCCAAAGTCAAGTCATTTCATTTAATATCTGTTCCCCAGGTGTCAGCCCTTTGTTCTTGTGCTCAGCGCGCTCCGGGAAGTGGCATGGTTGACACCATGCACTGCTCCACCCAACGGGCACAGAGACCTCCCCCTTGTGTCAAAGTGGGAAACACTCGTCTACGGCGAGTATAAAACCAGACATTTTGTGCTTATGAAATAACCATGCAGTTAACATTTGAAAGAGCTCTGACACCCCTTCCCAAAATAACAAAGCTAGCAGTGAGCAGAATTAGAGCATTTGGCTTCCTTTCCTACCTAAAACCTGCAGATATTAATATACAACAAATTATTTTCAAAACAAAGAAAAACCCTCCAGGAGAATATGAAGATTTTGATCATTTCCACTAGTGTTCTGCCTTGCTCTATTGAAACAAATGTAGCAAAACATTTTGGCCTTGATGCGCTGGAGATCTGCAGAGGAACCTGTCAAATTCTCATTAGAAGTATTTAGCAGTAATGGATGAAAAGAAAGAGTAAGTACATTACTAAATAAGCCAACTTAACATATAATTTTAAAATCAAAGCATATTGTAAGGCCTAACCTTACCATTTTACAATAACATAATTACATAAATTTTTGGAATCGATAAGCTCTAGCTGTAATGAGCTCAAGAACAGTATTTCACAGTAATTCTGCCTAAAGGCAGAGGAGGCTCACCCGGAGCAATGGTTGGGATTCCATAACTATCACTGTTCACTCAGCACAATGAGCCGAGTACTGGTACTCACATATTTCTACCACCTACTTACAGGTCTCATTGTGCAAGAGGACAATGGTTGTTTAGAGTTTAGGTTAGCTACCAGGTACAGGGACGGTTTCTTTACTTGAACTAGATGCTTCACACCTAAGAAACCTCAATTCCAGATTTCTCAAGAGCAGGAAGTCTTCTTTCCCTCTTGGGGTTCTTGTACTTAAAAAAAAAAACAAAAAACAACCAACATATAAAATCTAGATAATACCATTATTTCTAGAGAAATTGAGAGAAACAGCACTCTTAATCCAATGGGGTGTTCAAATCTGTTGTGGTTTAAGCCCATCTGGTAACTCAGAACCATGCAGACACTCACTCACTCTCTACCCTTCCTCCCCCTGCTCCCAGAGGGATGGGGAGGAGAATTCAAAGAATGTAACTCCCGTTGAGATAAGAACAGCCCAGTAACTAAGGTATAACAAACCACTGCTGCTACCACCAATAATAATAATAATGATAAGGGGAATAACAAGGGAAGGGAACATAACCGCTACCACCCGCTGACCGATACCCACCCTGACCTGAGCAGTGATCTGGGCCTTCCAGGTAACTCCCCCCAGTTTATATACTGGGCATGATGTGCTGTGGTATGGAATACCCCTTTGACTAGTTTGGGTCAGGTGTCCGTCTCTGCTTCCTCCCAGCTTCCTGTGCCTCCCCTCAATGGCAGAGCATGAGACTGAAAATGTCCTTGGTCAGAGTTAAGCATTACTTAGCAACAACTAAAAACATCGGTGTTAACAGCATTGTTCTTAGACTAAAGTCAAAACCACAGCACTGCACCAGCTACTAAGAAGGAGAAAAATGCCTGCTACTGCTGAACCCAGGACAAAATCCAGAATAAGGCCTGATGCTTACTAGAATTTGGCAGGGAGCTGCTTAAATGAATTTGAAAGATCCCTTGAGCACTTCCATACCTGCAAAAGCCTGGTCACGTGGTTCAACAAGTTAAGATTTCCATCATTTAACACTATTAGACACGCTGTAACAATATTTCTGCCCTGTGCCTCCTGCGAAAGTAAGTTGGAATTCAGCAATGAACCATCACAAGATGCTGGGCTTATGAACTTCTATTTGGACTTCAACCTCCATCCAGATAAGCTCATGAAAACCCCAAATAAAATTTTTATCATCTAGCAACAAATATCACTGAATTTCCTGCCAGAATAAAACCAAGGTAATCTAAGATTAAAGCGAAATGAATAGTAACTAGAACTGTATACATATATAACTTCAATAAGGAGTGTATTGGCTTCAAATTCAGTATTCACACAAAAAACATGATGGTATCTTCTTCACTTGCAGAAACAAAGACTGAAGCTCATCAAAATCTTTTACTTTCCAATTTTATAGCTAATGGAAATCAAGTCGCCCTCAATGGAAAAAAAGCAAACCTGCAGGAAAGAATAAAGAAAAACAAGAACTGTCAAGATAGTTTTACGAAGTGATCCTACAATTCAGGAAGCACTGTCCCAGAAGACACACAGCCAACCATCCCGGTACTGCAGGCACCTCTGCTGTTAAACAGATC